GATAAAAAGTCCAAGTACTTTTTATGGATTGATATTGTGGCGGCTGATGATTGTAGGTACAAATTCCATAATTCCCGGTGGATGGTAGCCGGCAAAGCTGACCCTGAAATGCCAAAGAGAATGTACATCCACCCGGACAGCCCGGCCACCGGCGAACAATGGATGTCCAAAGTCGTCACCTTCCACAAGCTGAAGCTCACTAACAACATCTCTGACAAGCACGGATTTGTGAGTGCCTTTTACACCTTCCTTTGCCCCCCGCTTTCCCTCCCTCACCCCCTGCCCGGGGTGGTGGGTCCCGGTGTGAGGGATCCCCCCGGGAGCGCAGCGACTGCTCGGCCTGAGCCATGTCCGCAGCCCCGGCCAGCAGCTCCCGTGGGTTGGAGGGATGCAGGGAGAACGGAGGATAAACACCCCCTCCACGCACACAGGGACGTGTGTCTGTCCAGTTTAGAATATTCCTTGATTTTTATTTATTTTTTTTATGTTGTTGAGGTCAGGTTTAAACACTTGAGTTTATTCTGTAACCTCTCCGTGCCATTCAACGTTAACTTTAAGAGATATATTTCCAGCACAGCACAACTCGATATTTCTCAGAGCTGTGGTGACTTTATAAATCTCTTTTTTATATATAAATTTATACTTTTTTAATTAAGTCGATCACAGTTTTTAAGCGTAGCAAAATGATATGCATATGTGTAGAAAGGGCTTAAAGGCCTAAGTATGCAAACATTTAAATATATATTAATCTGGATAATGTAAAGCAAGCCGGAGTGAAAATAAACAGGGACCAAAATCAGAGGTCAAGTTGCCCATTCATGTCTATCCACTCCTTTACATTTACTGGGTGTACAGAGATAAAAACTTACCCTAAGAGTGAAATCAAACAAACCTGCTGATAAGTCCTCTGACGCTCCTTGCTATTTCTTTCTATTCCTGGGAAAGCCTTCTCCTCGGAGCCGGGGGTTGCTGGTGGTGACCGCGGTCGGGGGATCTCTAATGTGCTGAAGATTACATTTGCTGGCTGTGATTTGATTAGACAATACATTTTTTATTTTTTTTGCCTTTCGCAGAAGGCCTTAAGTGGATTGGGGCAAGCAATTAGACCTAACCAAGGCTCTCGTGGTGGTGTTGCTATTGTAGCTGCTGCTTTACTTCATTTTATTTATTATTTTATTTTTTTTTCCACGTTGAAATCAAAAGACATCGCAGCCGGAGCCCAAACAGCTTCTCCCCTTCTCTCAGGAGAGCTCTGCTGGGATTTTTTTTCCCCCTTCCCTTCCCAGAGGTCCAGCACAGAGCCTAACCCCGGCGAGCTAGAGCTGTCAGTGCTATTTTTTTTTTTGGTTGTTGGATGCTGCAAGGCGTGTGCGTGTGTTTGGAGTGTGCTCGGCGGGGAGGAGGAGTGAGGGGAGGAAGGAGAGGGGAAGGCAAATTAGGAGGAGAAAGTGCCGATGGTTGGGGGGGAAGTGCGAGGCGGGGGTGCTACTCCAGCTGACCCTCT